GTGCAGAGGAAGGGCGAGCGGGGAGTGTAACTTAGCGAAGTCCGAGGACCTCGAAAACCCAGCAGCTTTCCTTTTGTCTCCTAGAAACTTGTGTTCTTTGGGGACAAACGGGTTAAGTGAGACTGGGAGGCATCATCAACTGTCTCCGCGGGATGAGAGAAGTTGGTAACTTTTCCATTCTTGGAAGCGGGAGGATCTGCCTTAGCGTCGGTCCTTATTAAAGGGGAACTTCTTGGTTTTCCAGACCTGCGGGGTTATTTGTGCCGTGTCCTGCTCCTTGGAAGGGGGACGCGGAACGCGTGGTGGATTCTAAGTAGTCTGTGAATGTCCCTTAACGTGACCGAGCAGTCCGTGTTTACCACGGCTCCAGTACTCCATTCCTCTCTCCCTTTCTCTTGTTTTTCTTTCTGAGCGCTGTTGTTAAGTCAAGATGCTTGGGAAGGAATTGACCTTTTATTCCATGGTTACTTTATTGACTGTGATCCAAGATGAAGTTATTTATGGGCATTCTGATATCAGTGTAGGTTAACTTAAAACTCTTAATAAAAAACTTAAAACTTTCTAAATCTCAGTACTGTGTTGTACTCTTTAGAGACCCAGTAAATTATATTAACATGTTTTGCCTTTGCTCCTCCTGTAAGGGTTTCCAAAGTAGTGAAGTTGTCGACTTGGCAAAAGGAAGAGTAGCATAAAATAGACTTTTAGGAATTTTTAAGGGGTAAATTTCAGTGTACAGTTTTCGCTGCATCACTCTTATTTATGCTTAGTCACTGTTTCTCACTGTAGAAATTTAATTGGTGATAACATGCTGTTTTGCTAATTTCTTAAATTGCCAGTTTTTTTTTTTTTTTTTTACCTGAGGCTTTAATGTGGTCAAATAAACCATGTGTGTGTGTGTGTGTGTGTGTGTGTGTGTGTGATTCTAGTAGAAGTGGGTGGAATTTTGTGAATAAGAAAACTGAAGTTTGCCTATGTATCTTAATCGTTCTGGGTATTAATTTCAAGCCATTGCTTCTCTATATAGGTTTAGCATTGGAGGACTTTTTATTTTTCCCCCTAATGCTGTGCCCAAATAAAATAGCATTAAAAAGCAATACTATATAAATAATTGTTAACATTTTGAGATTCTGCCTTTAGTAACTTAAGGTCACTAAAATAGGCATGTGTTTACTATTTGATAAAACATGTTTCTAAGATATAATTTTTCACATAGGATAAACTATGGTATTCCATATCATTTTAGATAGTCTTTAAATGAGTTTCCCAGGCTGCTTATGTTGATAAAAGGAGTTAGTACTTGCTGAGCATTTTACTGTAGAATGGCATTGTAGTTGTACAACACTTTGATGATAAAGTCTTGAGTCAGCCTATATAAAATATTTAATTCAAGTTCATTGAGATAAAATAGATGAGATTCACTTTGGACTAGTTGCTTCTGTATTGTAGGTAGCTGTAGGTGGATGTTAGATACAGACAAGCACACCTCAATTAAAAAAGTCTTTTACCAAAAAAAATCTTTTTTTTTTTTTTTTAAACACTGAGTAATGTTAACTCCAGACCTGCGGGAGTATAGTACTTCCTCACAAACTGCATTTAGTAAGTTTTGTAAGTTTAAACGACCACATAAAAATAATTATACATAAAACTTTATTTAAATGTGGCTATTTTGTAAAGTGGATTGCATCTGTTTCTGAGACCTACATGTTTATATCCTGTTGGACACACATGTAATTGTAACCAAACTTCACAGAGTTCTAGATTATTTTCAGAGCAGATTAGTTGCCTCAAGGTCAAAAAACTAAGATTCCTTGTAAGCCCATTCCCTGTACCATGATACCCATCTTAATAAACTGAGTTTTCGCATTTGGGTGGATTATTTTTATCTAAGTATCAACTCAATTAGGCTCTCGTCTGAGTATTAAATAGTTACTAATATTATTTCAATTTCTGATGTAAGTCTATTATAATTTCATTTGTTTATTTAGTGGAGAACATTGTAAGTAGTTAGAACTTTCACTTTGGAATGAGCTGTTCATGACCATGACCATATTTAGAAATGGAAGACGTATGTTTTGATTATATCATATTTGGAAGGATAAACACTTGAAGAAAAATTTTAAAAAGCCAGGATCAAAGTTTAATAAAAGAATATACCTTGTAACCTGTAAGCCAATTTGGAATGGGAGCATGTGCTTTGAGGTGAGAATTGAACTACAGTATATTTCTTGGTTAGCCACCTCCACTTCCCCCTTTTTAAATTACTTAATTAATTAATTTCAGTGCTAGGAATTGAACCTAGGACCCTGCAAAACAGGGCAAAAACACTACCACTGAGCTACAACCCCCACCCTGCCTGCTTTTTAAAACAGTGAATACCATGTCCTGCAAAGGTGTAGATTTACTTTGATCTTTAAAACTGTGAGTGTACCTGATAAGCAAATCATTCAGCAAGTATTTGTACTTATTGTACATTAATACCTCTGACTATGCAAAGATGAACTGATTGCTAAATTTGAAATTTCAATTATGAACTTTCTTGTAATAATGGTTGATTAATGGAACACATCTGTTTCCACATCAGCCCTACATTGGAACAGCATGTTATTGTTTAAGTAGATTTTTATTTTATCTAATACCATGTTAATTGTAATATTAAACAGTAGGCTGATGTTCTTCCTATTTTGAGTTTTTCCTCACCTTGTACCTTACTATGGCATCTGAGCATATGCAGACATTTACTTATTTTTATTTTCGAACCTGGTGCCTTTTTATTGTCCCAATAACTAGCCTGCTAGGCTGATTAGGGAATTAAAATAATAGAACAACTGGGAGGTAGATATTTCCTTTTCTTTGTTTTGGAACCCCATTTTACTATTTTCTTTTATTATAATTTTTCATACCCGTGTTTACATGAATCTGTAATCAAGGCAGAGTTTTGAATGCAGAGAAAACAAGAATGAATTAGACAGAGATGGTCCTGACTTTCAAAGGCCTTATAGTTTTCTTGTGGAGAGAGATAGTAAACAGAATAATGATTTCCTTTGAGTTGTCATTAGTATTATCAGGGAAAGTGCAGCTGTATAATGAACACACATAATAAGGGATCCTACCTTGCTTTGGGGTACATAGAAAGGTAATATTAAAGCAGAGACCAAAGAGTTGAGTTAGCATGATGTGGGGAGGGGAAGCCTGTGTATCTGTGTCTGTTTAGGAGATGAGCAGACAATAAGAACAGCCCTGAGGTAGTCATCTGTTTTGAGTACATTAGCATAATTTAAAATCATGCAGGTTTACAATTTTTCATTTACTTATTTCCATATGCATTTGGATGAATTTGAAAAAATATTGGGGGGCACTATCTCTATGCTTTAAATGACCAGCTCTCATTTTATTGTATGGGAAAATGCCATGTCTTAAAACTATTTTTAAGGATTGCTTGTCAGCCACAGAGTATGAGTTGGCAAGGAATGTCTGTTAGACAAAATAAATAAATAAATAAATAAAAATATTGTAAAGCATTTTATTGTTTACAAATAGTTGCATTTCATTGTTTACAAGTAGTTTTTAGTCTAGTAAAACTTTCCACTAACTCATATTTAAGTGTAAATTAGTAAAGATGTGATTTGGCAGGTAAAAATCCTGATTGGAAATAGATTTTTCAAAAAAACATTGTTTCAAATTAAACTCATCTTGAACTTGAATCCTTTAATTTGAGCAACATGTTTTCTAATTGGACCTGCTCTGTCACTGTTCCACTGAGAAATCAGGGATTGATGATTTTAAACCTGTTTCACAGGATTTATGAGTAGTTGTGTAATATTTTATGAAGATGTTTTTAATTTGATGGCCAGCAATCCTGATTAAAAAGAAGATGGATCTGGGAAAGCTTTAAATTTTGAAGCTGAGGGCTCTCTCCCCAGAATGCTCCCTAGCATGACTGTTATATTTTCTTATTCTTAATATATTTAATTGTAAAATAAAATTTAATGTGATTGCTCCTTTGTAAAGTTATTTTGAGAATTATTAAGTTAATAATGTTTCATATGTTTATGTTGAACCTTACCAATGTAAATTAGTTTAAAAATAATTTTAAACACATACATTCAAAGCAAAGTAATATGCTTTTATAATTAGAAAGGACCAAAAAGACTTTCTTGACCACAGGGTGATTAAGTGTTGGAATAAACCACAAGTAAAGTTGTGTAATCTCCGTTCCGCAAATAACATCTTAAAATTGAAACTAGTTACTGAAGAGCTGCCTTATTTTCTTAAACTTTAATAAGGAAACATGTCTTATTGCCCTTGTATATTGATCAGATACAGATTTAAGTGCTGCCGTCTCTGCCACTTAACCAGGTCAATGTCCTTGGGCAAGTCACTTCTGAACCTGTTTTCTCTGGGTCATTATGAGGATTTAGAGACTTAATATATGCAAAGAAGGATAAAGTAAAATAAATAGTGTTCTCTTTTTCTTCTAAGTCTATTTCAATACATAATAAGCATTATGGACTTGTAGCTATGGATTCTTTCTTTTTCCATTATTTTTATTGTTTATATTCTTATTCAGAGAGGAATAGTGTAAAAGAGGCTAGTTATTTTGAAGCTTGAGAACCCTCTACTTTCCTTTTGAAAGTTGTTGCTGTTTAACTCAGGATTTCAGCAGTTGCTATTTTAAATACTTTTGAATTGAATTTTAAGATGTGTTCTGCTTGGTGTCGTCCTGTGATGGTGTGTAGTGTAACATCAACTGTCCCTACAAGTCTTTAGAGCAGTGGTCACTTCAGTTGAAATTGTTTGTTTTAGGTTTCTCTCTTAGTAGCAGTCAAGCTTATAACTTTCAGCATGTGGGATGAACTTGGTCTAGTTGTTACAAAATAAGACAGCTACAGCTGTTTTCAAAGTGTGACCCTCAGTAAGATTGTCCTCTTATTAAAGTTTCTGTGAATATCTGCTTAAATTACAAGCATTTGTTATCATTAACTTGTCATTCTCTTATGATTCTTTTAGCATGCCTATTTTTAATTTATAGGTTATATACTTGCCTATAAATATTTTGAGTAAAAATAAGTATTTAATTCATAATTTGTAATTTAAAAACAATGTAAAAACATAGTGTTGGTGTTGAATGTGTACCTTTTTGTCATGATATCATTGAATATCATAATATCAACTCTGAACATTCCTAATTAGGAAAAGCTCCTTTAGAATCAAGCTTCAACTGGAGAAAAAGATGTAGCATTTTGGGGAGCAATTACTTTAGCCACTTGGAACCAAGATAGAATTTATTGGAAAAAACCCCAGAGAACTAGCAGTAACTCTTACTCATAAGTGAAGAAAATGGGTTAAGAATCTGTTTCTTCTCTAGAGAATTAAATACTACAATGTAATTTAATTTGGGAAATAATAGAGTTGAGTTTTCCATACCATCCACAAGCACAAACACATAATAAATAATTAGCAAGAGAGGTCTGAAGTTGGGAAGAGGTGTCTGAGCAGGATGTATAAATTAGTTTTCTGCATATGACTGATAATAGAGACTTGCGAAAAAATGAAAGAATTTATAGAATGAATGGAGAAATGTATAGATTGAATAATTTGGAACCCTGAAGAAGAGTAATTTTTAAGAGAAGACTAAAGAATAGCCAGAGAGTTAGGAAACTGGAGAAGTGTACACAGCATGTAAAGTAAAGAAAGATGACTGTTCAAAAAGAAGGGATGAGTCATTATAATGTTAGGGCCAAGGACGATGGGGGTCTGAGGAAAAAAAAAAGCCCTTTAATTTTAGGAGGATCTCAATAGAGCAGTTTTATTGAGGAGTAGTAACAATAAAGCCAGATAAGAGGTTTCAGCAATGTATGGGAGATTAGAAGATTTTTTTTTTTTCTTTCTGAACATGTGGTTGAGTAGCAAATAAGAATGGTGGCAAAAGGAATATGGTATACTTTGTTTTTACTAACAAAAACCAATAAAAAAGTTAATTATAGAAAATTCATTGAATAAGCTCACTTATAATTAAATGTGCTTATGCTTTCTATACTAGCTTTAAAAAGCAAGAAAGACCATTAAATATCTGTAATGTCTTGATATTATTTTACAAGTACTAGAAATCTGAACTCCCTAGAGTAGCATATAGTTCTCATGATTTGCCTTATTCCCACCTGGCCTCGTTGCTCTACCTTATATTTTACCTTGACCCAACAATACTAGGAAGAGTTAATATATTTTGTCAATTCATGCTTCTTTTCAGTTGCACAGGCTATTATTTTAGCATGGAATGCCTCCCTTACCAGTTTACTGATCCATACTTAAAGACAATTCATCTTTCAAGACTGTGCATTCTTCTCTAACCCCTATCCATACTGATTATTTTATAAATGTGATAGGATTTTTACTGTCACCAACCTCCTGCTGTTGAGAAAAGGCTCTATGATTTACTAGTCTTTATATTGAAAAATGGTCATGATAGCACACAACTGTAATTTCAGCTTCTCAGGAGCCAGTCTGGTCAACATAGCAAGACCCCATACCCCCCCCAAAAAAAAAACAGTAAAAAAATTTTTCAGTAAATCTTTGTTGCCACACCAATGCAGTGCCTAGGACAGAGTAGCTAAACAATAAATAGATGTAATGAATGAATGGAAACTGAGGTCTTTAGAAGTGTTTTACCCACAGATACAGAGCTTGAGCTAGAACTTTTATTTTCTTGATAAATTCTCTGTGTATTTTAATTAAGCCTTACCCTGTTAATTTGTTAGAGAATTTATTAGGCATATGTAGAAGGAGAGATTAGTAGATTTAATTGTACGTTAATTCATATATTTAGAAGAATAAAAAGAAAACTTATAGTAAAGTTTTGACTGGTAATAGTAATGAAATTGAAATGAGTATGGAATATGAATATGTCTCTGCAATATCAGGCATATCACAATCACTTTAAAAAGGTAAAAGCTGGGCTGGGGGTTTAGCTCCTTGGTAGAGTGTGTGCCTACTGTGTATAAGGCCCTGGGTTTAGTCCCCAACACTGGGAAAATTATAAAAAAGAAAAGGAAGGAAAGCAAAAACTAAAGCAGCCTCTAAAATCTGAAAGTTGAAGTACACATTAACTTGTTATTGGTATTAATTTATATACTACACAGTACTATAATTTAAGTATTATTTTGAAAGACATAATATGCTTTTTATGTATATTTTTACATGCTGTATACTTCCCACATGTCAGTACTTTCTTTATGACATTTTAAAATACTCAAATGTTACTTGAAGTTCTTTCAAGATATATTGATTAAATATAAAATTAATTAAATATGTTTAGATATATCTTTAAATAAGATACGATGAATCAGTGATTTAATTTATATTATTGAGCAGTTTGAAAATCAACCACTTTTTGTCTAACTTCTTTTCTCTTTTATTTTAACACTAGAGCTGGACTGACCATTATGGAGGAGGAGCTGCAGCATTCACACTGTGTGAATTGTGTCAGTAGACGGTGTATGACCAGACCAGAGCCTGGGATTTCCTGTGATTTGATTGGTTGTCCTTTGGTTTGTGGAGCAGTTTTCCATTCTTGTAAAGCTAATGAGCACCGACTTCTGTGTCCATTTGAACGAGTGCCTTGCTTAAATAGTGACTTTGGATGTCCTTTTACCATGACCCGAAATAAAGTTGCTGAACATCTTGAAATGTGTCCTGCAAGTGTGGTATGCTGTACTATGGAATGGAACCGATGGCCAGTTAGTTATGCGGACCGGAAATCATATGAAAATCTAAGCAGAGATGTTGATGAAGTGGCTCAATTAGATATGGCCTTGGCTCTTCAAGACCAAAGGATGCTCTTAGAATCTCTCAAAGTAGCCACCATGATGTCAAAAGCTACTGATAAAGTATCTGAACCTAGAGAACAAATCTCAGTTAAATCCAGTGTCTCTGAAATACCACATGCTAATGGTTTGGTATCTGTTGATGAAGAATCTTATGGTGCACTTTATCAAGCTACTGTAGAAACAACCAGAAGTTTGGCTGCTGCTTTAGATATCTTGAATACTGCCACAAGAGACATTGGCATGTTAAATACAAGTCTTCATACTACCCCAGATGAAATGAATGAAGAACAAAATGACAGAGAAAGTTTGCAGGATAGAAACTTGAAAGACCAGGATCATCCTTATGAGGATGAGATAGGGGCAGTAGGTGGAATCGACCGTACTGGCATAAGTCAGAATGCCCAGTCTGAGCAAAATGGTTCAAGTGATTTATTGTGTGACTTGAATGCAGGTTCTTATGGCACTTCTGTTCTTTGTAATGGCTTTCCTTTGGAAAATGTATGTACACAGGTCAAAGACCAGGATCAGAATTTTCAAGTTGATTCAAAACAAAGTAGCTTAACAAATGGAGAATGTGTGGCATCAGATGGTACTGCAGAATCTTCCAGTTCACTTTCAGTAGCAGCACAACTTAGAGAAGTAATACCCTCCAGTGCTTTACCTAATGGCACCGTTCAGCATATCCTCATGCCAGATGATGAAGATGAAGGAGGACTGTATTGGAGAAAAGTAGACTTAGGGGACTTGAGGAATGTGGATGTCTTATCTTTCAGTCATGCTCCTTCATTCAAATTTCTTTCTAATTCATGTTGGTCTAAACCAAAAGAAGATAAAGCAGTAGATACATCAGATTTGGAAGTTGCTGAAGATCCTATGGGCCTCCAAGGAATAGATCTGATTACAGCAGCATTACTGTTCTGTCTAGGAGATTCTCCAGGTGGGAGGGGTATATCTGATAGTCGCATGGTTGATGTATATCATATTGACTTTGGGACGCAGACTTTTTCGCTTCCATCTGCAATATTAGCTACAAATACAATGGTTGGGGAAATAGCTTCAGCTTCAGCTTGTGATCATGCCAATCCCCAGCTTTCAAATCCAAGTCCTTTTCAGACACTTGGGTTGGATTTAGTATTGGAATGTGTTGCTAGGTATCAACCTAAGCAGCGTTCAATGTTTACCTTTGTGTGTGGACAGTTATTTAGAAGAAAAGAATTTTCTTCACATTTTAAGAATGTACATGGTGACATTCATGCTGGACTCAATGGCTGGATGGAACAGCGGTGCCCTTTAGCCTATTATGGTTGTACTTATTCTCAGCGTAGATTTTGTCCATCAACACAAGGAGCAAAGATTATACATGACCGTCATTTGAGGTCATTTGGAGTTCAGCCATGTGTATCTACAGTATTAGTAGAACCTTCTAGAAACTGTGTGTTGGGATTACATAATGACCATCTAAGTAGTCTTCCCTTTGAGGTCCTACAACATATTGCAGGCTTTCTCGATGGCTTCAGTTTATGCCAGCTCTCATGTGTGTCCAGGTTAATGAGGGATGTGTGTGGCAGTCTGCTTCAGTCTCGTGGAATGGTCATACTGCAGTGGGGGAAAAAGAAGTATCCAGAAGGAAATTCATCATGGCAGATAAAGGAAAAGGTTAGTTTAATCTTAATTGTGTCAATTTCTTTTTTGGACATGAAGTAGGCACTTTAATGCTGCTGAATTGCTATAGTTAATAGCTTGTTGAAAAATTGATCATCCTTAAAATTTACTAAGTTAATATAATGACACATTTTTAAAGTGATAATTAATGAAGAACTAGAATAGTTAGAATTGTGATAATCACAAATTTATTGCAGAAATTTGTTTCCTAAATATAGATTCTAATCTAATATGGCAAAGGCCACTTCTGTTTCTTCAGGTGAGCTCTTCTGTACCCCCTCAATTCTTCTGTAATAACTTCCTTCATTTACCCTCTTTTTAAATTTGGGCTCCATCTGAAACACTGTCACCATTAGACAATGGAAGAAGCTAGGAGAAGGGTTTTTCTTACTTTGTCAGTTGGTCAGTTTCTTTCCATTCTTAGCAGTTTCTTTATTGGGACTTGGTTGTTTCACATGGAATCCAAATGGAGAGAGATGAGAAAAAGGCACAGCTATTGCTATATTCATTCTAGTAAGTGACCAGGGGAGTGTTAAGGGGCCAGGGGATATGAGTGGATGGATGAGAAAGTGTCTTAGGCTGAAGTGAGATAAGATAAAGATAGAGCAATAGAATTTTATATTGTGGGTGGAGACTGAATTTAGTACAGTACAAAAGAGTAACACACTGAAAACTGGAGCTAGAGATTTAGACATATCTAAAACAAGTCTGGGCTCCACCATTTCTCTCTTATAGTACTCGACTTTTGTCTACCTTGTATTTGAGGCACTATCCCATGGGAGAGAAAAGGTATTACAGATATCTGTGATTAAAGGTGGTTTTCATTTTAGAACACTTATAATATGAAACTTCACATTTTATAAAGTAGAAACAATTTTGATAAATGAAACATTTGGTTGTATAGTATTCAAATTTCTGATTACTTTATTTTTAGCACCCTTAGCTTTTGTCTTTTACTTGTTGCTCCAACTTTGCTGAATTCTCCATCAGCTACTTCTCTGTTCTCTTGAGGATTTTTGACCAATAAATGAACACACAAATTGTTTTATGATTTTTGCCAAAAGTTAATTACGGTGGCAGAAAGCTTCATTAGCTCAGTGTTTCTGTGTGTTTTTGTTTTGTGGATGATTTGGTATCTCTTTCCCCTTTGGGATGGAACTCTATGTCTGGCTTTTTTTTAATCCTTCTTCACTGGTGTTAACAAAAAGGATAGAATGTCTTCTGGAGATTTTAAAACTCCTGTCGAGATCTCATCTAGTCTTCTAAATTGCCATCATTTACACAGATTACCCACATGTCTATAAACTGACCTTTTTCTCTACTGAGCTCCAGACCCCACTGCACACAAGCTTCTGCTGGACATCTCTCCTTGATTACCCCACAGTTTATGCAGACTCAACATGTCCAATTCACTCTACTCCCCTACTCTTCTTAATCTCAGAGTGGCATCATAGTATACCAACTTGCCTAAACCAGGGATCTGGGAGATAGGCTTGACTGATATTTTCCCCCTTTTTTGCCATATCTAGGTAATTTTGAAGTCCTATGTTTTCTTCTCTTTCACTGCCATTTTCCTAGTTCAGTCTAAGCTTTGATTCTCTCCTGGATTAATACTACAGCTTCCTCCTGCGGGGCTTCCTCCTCCAATTGGGCCCCACTCCAACATATTATCTATACAAGAGTTAGAATATTCATACTTTCATAATACAGTTTTTATACTGTTATTGCAATGCTTAAAACTCTTTAATATTTGCCATTTCCCCTGGGATAGAGGCCAAGTCCTTAATAAAACATTAAAAACTTCATAATTTCATCCTTACCTCTTCAGTTTCTTCTTGTCACTTTGCATTCCAGTCAAGATTGACATGCTTATTGTTTCCTGGTGTGTTTTCTTTCTTGCTAAGGTCTTTGAATATACTATCTCTAATATCCACATCTCCACGTATAATATGGTATATAGTATACATCATTACTTTCATTAACTTATTTAATCCACTATCCCTACTTAGCAGATGAGGAATCAATACATAATTTGTGCAAGTCAGTAGCTTTGTTTTTAATTATCTTTATATAAGGGGACCACAACAGTCATTGCTATACCATTTTATAGAAGGGACCTGAGCATCACAGATTTTGGGTTCTTGCAAGGAAGGGTCCTAGAACCAATCTCCCACAGATACCAAGGGACAATTACATTCTGTGTTCTCTAACTAAACATTGGCCTGTTGATAAACTTAGCTAGGATACCTAGACCTGCCTGTCTGATTCATGATTACATGTCTCCCTTATTCTGCTCTCATGCTTATTACTTTTGTTTGGGTGGCTTTGTTTTCAATTGTAATGATGAGATGGGGTCACAGTGGTCATTGCTGCACTAATAAGATGTTAGTGCTTCTGGGCCTGGGCTGCTGACTAGGGAAAAAACAGGGAGTGCCCATATTTTTACCAATAGACATATGTACACAGATGGTAGGTTAGCATTTTGCCCTAAAACGTATTTTTAACAAAGACACATTTTTAGTTAAAGACACATTTTTAATGAAAATAGGATCCCTTTTATAGGAACTATATGTAAATTTTTAGAAGCATTTCAACAAATGTGTTTCTGAGTATTACTAGGTACCTTCAGTATTCGTGAGTAGTGGAGAGATAAGTGATTTTTACTACACTTTGTGGTGTAATAGGAATGGGAGAAGAACATGAAAAGAAACGAAACACTATTCAATATATCCAGACCATGTGTAGTTCTGTGTAGGCAATTGAATAGATGGAAAAGAATAATGCATAGTAGATATTATTCTGGGAAGTGACCTTGAATTTATGAAGTTATGATTTTTAAAAAATTGTCCAGTAAGCCAGGTTGGAAGTGATTTTTAATGTTGGGTTTTGTCCTTTTTTGGGGGGGAGGGGTTGTTTATTAAATGTATTGAAGTCATTATCTCATAGAAGTGAGTTGTCTTTATAAATTTGACAAATTTACTTGAAAATGGATTTACTTTTAAATTTTGTAACTATTTGAAACTTTATATTGGATGTTTCTCTAACAAGATATATATGCAGTTAGAGCAAGAAATACATTTTGATTTTCTGTAAATTGATTTGTTTAAATCTAAAGTAGAGTTCTCTTCTAGGTATGGCGATTCAGTACTGCATTTTGTTCAGTTAATGAATGGAAATTTGCTGACATCTTAAGCATGGCTGACCACTTGAAGAAATGCAGTTACAATATCATAGAGAAACGGGAGGAAGCAATCCCATTGCCATGTATGTGTGTGACTCGAGAACTCACTAAAGAAGGACGTTCACTACGCTCAGTTTTAAAACCTGTACTTTAAAAACTAACTACCTGCATACACATGCAAACACCTAGTATAATTTCTTTGTAATATGTGATACTTTATTAATGTATTAAAGAGTACAGCTAGATAAATGTAATGTCATTATGTATATATATGTTTTGAAGTGATATATATTTTTATAAAGTACTGTTTAGTTGGAAAAATAATCGCCTTAATGTTTGAAATGTGTGGCATTTTTGGAACTTGCTGGACAGGGTGATTTAATCTTAGTTACATAATTTTCAGAATTAGTATTTTTGATGGTGTGCATATTTTGGTTCTTAAATGTTTTGCTTCTTAAAACTAACAAGATCCTGACCAATTTATTCCTCATGTTTTCTATGGGTTAAGCCCACACAATCAAAAAAGCAAAACTTTGATTCAAATTTTTGCTGCATAGGTTTTTCAGATGAACACTTTCAATTGCTTAAGCACTGCCCTAAGATCCTTATAAAGTTTTTTATTATCTGGTTGTTCCCCTCTGACAATTATTGATGCACAGATGATCTCCAGTATACTTACATAATATTTAAAATTACAACTAGTGTTTGGTAATGCTATTTATAATGTTTTAAATATAATTCACAAAGATGTTTTCATCTTATGTTCTTAAAACTTATACAGAGTGACCACAGGCAGCTTTCCTTTTTATTAAATGCCACATCCAGAGATTTGTGGCCATGTGTTTTATGGCAGGTTAAAGCAAAAACATGCAAACAAAAAACAAGCCAGTGAATTTAATTGGAAACCATTCATGTTATTGTGTATTTGCTAAACATTTAATGTTTGAACAAAAATATACCTCATTTTAAGTTTGAATTTGGCATATTTTGCAAATACATTTCAAATATTCAGAATGCAAAGGGCTTAACTTTTTCATATGCATTTTAAAATTTTGCCTTTTGTAGTTTATAAAAATACAGCTATATTGTCTATATTGTTTTAAGACATTTAAAAATGTGAATTTAATGTTGTCTTTGTAAGATATCCTGCAGAGACCTGCATAGTTTGACAATCTCTCTGAAACATTTCCAAGTTAATTTCCTATACACTTCTTTACCAGAAAGTAAGAGTTGTATCTTCATGAAAAGATCCAGGGAGGATAGAGAAATATTCAAAAGCCTATTCTTGAAGTATTTTATTATAGTTTTATACTGTTAACTTGATGTGGTCACTTTAAAAATGAATAAATTTGCTGTATCAGTATTTAGGAAACATTGCAAAGATGGAGACATATACTTAGATAATTTGTCTTAGGTAAATTCTGGCATGTGGTAAGCTAAAATGGTGATGCACTTCCTGGTTATAAATGTCAACGTTGAATTATATTTTTACTTCCTACATTTGTCCCTAAGAGTGCTTTATGGTCACTGGTCCATGATTCCCATATATGGCAATCAGGATGGGCAGAGGTGTTACTTGGGCAGTAAAGAATTTTGAATTGCTGAAGATTTGTTTTGGTTGGATCAAGTTCTTATTATAGTTCAAAAATATAGGATTAAAGACTCATCAGTTGTTTTGCCTCAGCTCTCATTTTAATTAGTAGAATACTTACTTCTCAGTGCTTAACTATCATTTTAATTCTGAGATTGAATGGCATAAGAAGTCTCTATTTCTGTGAAAAAGTCAGAAACGAGATATCAAATACTATAAGGTATTACTCTGCCTTTTGTTAAACTTTTACTGAAGAATGTGTTTGTGGTTAGCCTAGCACAGGCATTAACTTTTTGTTTTATGGTTGTGCTTTTAAAAATCCATTGTTTTTAGGTTTAGATTTGTTATTTCCACACTGAATCATGAAATATTTAACATTTTTCCACCTTATATTTCTTTTACACATCTTTCCCTGTTCTCTTTTTTGTTGTGCCACCATATCATTTTGTTAAAATGTTTTCTCTGTGCAACATTTGTTTAAGTTCTAATAAAATTAATATTTTCCCCTTATATGTCTCATTAACTTAAAAAGAAAAACTTTCATTTAAATAAAATTTTAATACTTGTTTGATGAATTCAAAACACAGTCTTACTGTTTCTGGAATGTTGATTCTTCTGCGTGTTACAGGAGTTGCTGGTTGATTATCATTGCTAGCTCAGGTTTTACTGGTGAACTCTAAATTTTTCTGTAATATATAGAACTTATTAGTTAATTTTCTTTGCCCCTTGAGTGTCTTGAAAGTAGGCCCATCTAGAGATATTAAAAGGCTGCTAAGAGATTGTGGTGTGATTATTTTTCTAAAACTTGAAACCAGAACTTCCTATTTGTCCTCTTAAGCACGAAGAGGTTTGTATGTTGACCTAGTAGATTTTTATTTGCAAAGTCTTTGTTGATTGCTTAAGTCTTTGCTACCCAGAAAGATAAAGGGCAAGCATCAAAATGGAGGAAAATATCTAAATTCACTTTTATTCTCTTTATCCTTTCCCAGTACTGCTTAATAGCTTGCTTGCTCTTTCTTTTCTCTCTCTTTTCATTCTCTCTTTTTCTCTCTGTTCCTTTCCCCCTCACATGTCACTTGGGGTAAGAACAAATGGTCTGTTTTAACAAGGACTCCAGGTGATTCTGATGCACACAAAAAAATAAGATCTTAGAGGAAGACATACTATCTCTACCCTCTGATGTGTTATTAGAATGGATATATATGTGTATGTACGAATGTATAATCCAAAATTAAGAGTAATGATTGTGTTAATAGTTAAATTATATATGTTGTCTCAGTCTTAGAGCCATATGAGAAAATACATTGGGTATAAAAACTTGTCACTAGTATTTTAAACTTCACTAGTATTTTATGGTGTTTCTTCTGTTCAAAGGCAAGAATAGAGTACATTTTAGTTCATTAGTACTAACATTTAGCGTAGTCACACTTGTTTAGTGGTTGCAGAGTGATGTGAACGTACTAGAATTGTAGGATAAGCAAAGAGAGTAGAAGTAGATAAATTCCAAATTAAATCCTACTAAAGTATTTGTAGGGATCCCTTCAACCCTATCAATAAGATTAAAGATCGACTTTCTGGTTTATCAGTAGTATAGAATTATTTTTGGTCTTTGTGCATATTCCATTAAGGCTATTCCTATCATCTGTCCTTTAACTTTGGATATTGGGGTCTTAGTAATGTTTAAGATACTAGAGTTTCTCATACCCCTTGAAGATACAGTAGTTTGTATTAGTATATTGATAACAGATTTTACTTGTGGGGATTTGAATACTTTAGGTGAAAAATGCAAACAGATTTCTCCATGTTTTGCATCCCAAACTGAAAAGAGATACGGTTATTAATTATTTTTAATATATATTTTGGTTGTCAATGGACCTTTTTTTTTGAAAAGGGGATTGAACTCGGGCACTAAACCACTGACCACATCCCCAGCCCTATTTTGTATTCTATTTAGAGACAGGGTCTCACTGAATTGCTTATGGCCTTGTCATTGCTGAGGCTGGCTTTGAACTCAGGATCTTCCTGCCTCTGCCTCTGGGATTACAGGCCTGTGCCACCATGCCCCGCTGGACCTTTATTTTTATTTACTTATTTTTATGTGGTGCTCAGAATCAAACCCAGTGCCTCACACATGCTAGGCAAGCGCTTTACCACCGAGCCACAACCCTATTCCTTATTAATTTTTTAAAATTTCCTAAAGAAAAATGACACAAACATTGAAAATGTGTTTCCTCCATGACTTACCATATTAGGAGGTGATATGACTGGAACCTACAGAGTTGGTTGTTTAGAAGTGCAATAGAAGGGGAGTAATTTGCCCCTGTTCTCTGGACAAATGTTTTTGATGGAAAGATCTTTCCTGATATGTGCCTGACTGGTTATCTCATTGCTGCTGTGAGTAGTGTTATTTAACATTTCATAAGGCCTAGGAAGCCTGAATATATTAGTTATGCCTTTAAAGTAAACCACACATCTATTCCAATGTGTTTAATTTACTGGTAGATTTGTTAGTATTTATCTAAAACATTTCCAGAAGGTTTGAGTTAGGCCAATTCTAGTGAAGTCCTTAGTAAATAAGAGAAAAGGAAGAATGGTTTCTCTTTCTTTTTGAAGTCACCTTTTACCTAATTGTTTCCTTTTAATTAAAGGATCAAGTTCAAAAGATCAACCTTGCATTTTATGGGTGAGAATATTGATTTACTGAATGTTTCTGTACTGATGGGTATATCTCATCTCTGAATGATATGTGCCCTGAAACAGGTCACTTTCCCACTTAAATGTAGAAAGAGAAGGGATATTTAGACAAAAGGAAATTACTTGGGTAATTATCAATAGAATAAATACCTAGAATATTTGGTTCCTTCTGTGTTTTGGAAAGAAGTTTGGTGTAATAGCAAAAGAAAAGTAGAAATGAGTGAGGTGTGACATGTTGCTCTGAAAATCCTTTGCAAAATTAGGCAGTTTGCTGAAGTTGTACAAAAATGTTATTGCATCAGTGACTGAAGAAATTCTATAAATTCATTGTAATATATACAATGACAATCATTAAAATTGATCAATATGTCTTGGTAAGGGGGATAACATCTTGAGGTGTTTTGTACCTTGGAACATTTCAAAATGGACATTTTATGTTCAGAATGTTTGATATTCCAATGTATTATGTGGATAGTAACTTTTTAAAGTTAAAATACTACAAAGAAATGGATTACAAGATAGGTTCATGAACATGCTCTGTAAAATTAATCGATGCAAATCTTTTTAAATAATTTTTTAATCTTTTTGACAAGCTCTATTATTTACTATGAAGAAAAGCATACCTGAAGCAAACTGACAAGGGAAATGTGATGTTCACCACCACCCCCAACACCAATATAATTTTAAGTATCTCCAAAATCACTTTATTAATTCATTTGCATGCAGATATGAAAGGAAATGATTCTTCAATGCATGGCTAGTTCTAGTGGTAGTGATAGTTTATGTGTTTGAAAGTAATAAAACTTCATTTTTGTTGAAATCTTGGGACCAAAATCATCAGGTCACGTCCTTTCCCAACACATTCATCAGGTTTAATTTTTATTTTTTTCTGATATACATAGTTAGAATTTAATTCCCCCCCCTCAATGTTTTAAACAGGCAAAGTTGATAAATGTATTCAACTTTTGGCACAGAAATTGACTCGAGTCAGAGAGTGTTTTGCACTCCTAGTCAAAAGGTGACATTAATTTTACATTTTAAAATAGTAATTCTAAGGCCTACTGATATGAGAACAGTAGCAACAAATTTGTTATTGCTCAAAAGATTGAAGTTTAAAAGGAGAGCCTGCCCTCTGCTGTCGTAGAACATTTTTTTTTCTGTTGAAATCTTTTTTATATTAATAGTAATTAATGCTTATTTAATTTTATAACTTAAGTGTGGCTTAACCATATTATTTATTAAATCACTCCAGAGAAAATGAAATAATAGTACCATCTTTTTACATCAATTCAATTAATGATTTAAAAATTACTACCTGTATTCCTAATAAAATAAGGGATTTGATATAAGTAGAGAACGGTACTGACTCCTTACAATATTTTTCCAATAGCTTTATGAAAACAGCTATAACATGAAATTGCATTGAGTGATTCACAATTCAGTGGACATGAATTCTGAAGATTTTTATTTTGTATTTAAATGTAAAATTGTACTGTTCACTTGATCATTGTTTAAGCACCAGTCCATAGTGAAAATAAAACTGAACTGTCTCATTCACTTACCTCATGCTGTTTAGTTTCCAGTGGATTTTTTCTCATGCTTTACATTAATAGTTTGATTTACATTAATAATTGTCTTTATCCTCAATGCAAAAGGGTATGGTACTCATGGGGAGGGAGTGCTAAGTGAATGAAGCTAGACACAAAAGGCCACACATTATACTAGTCCAGTTATATGAAGTACCAAGAGGAGGCTAGCCTCTAGAACAGATTAGATTAGTGGTGGCCAAGGAGGAGAGTGACTATGAACATGGAGTTTCTTTTGGAGTGATGAAAATATTCTAGAACAAGGTGGTGGTGATTTGAGTAATATTGCTAATGTACTAAAAGCCACCAAATAATACACTTTTAAAATGGTACATTTTATTTATTTTATTTTGCCTTATTGTTTTTGAAAAAAGGATGTGATATTTATAGTCATTATCAAATCCCAAAAGTATCATGTTCCCAAGGTTTGTGAAATGCTCAAGATATGGTTTAGAAATGATTTGTAATATTGGTAATGTGACAAACTTATTCAGTTAAAAGTCTCTATAAAATTCCTTAATTTCATCACAGAAGTATGGATGACAGCAGCAGAAATAAAGCTGTAATTCTGCTCAATTTCCTTATATTTAATACAGCTGTGGCTAATTGGCTTCTATGTTAAAGATTGTTTTTTCATCTTTTGCATTTTATTATGACTCTTTGTGGCACATAGCAATCACTTTTAAAAGAGCTGTTTTTAAAATCATAATTTGAAAAAAACTGTATAACTTTCAGGATTATTTTTATAGTTTTATACTTTGTGTTCCTTTTAAAGAGCAAATGCAATCATGTATTAGGCAAGACTGAATAAATTGAACTGATGCATATGTTTTGTATTTTTTTGTGTGTGGGAAAAATGCTACTTGAATTTTGGGATTGATTGGAACCTCAGCGATCATTTAGTTTCTCATTTTATATTTAGTGAAATTGAAGCTGAATTTGTCAATCGGTTTGTTCATTCATCAACCATTGGCTTGACTCTGGAAGGTGGTTTCATTTCTGAACTTTCACAATAATTTATTATGTTTTTTTTCTGTCTGTCATCATCTAATAACTATGCCAGACATATGGACAAGTGGACAAGTACCAGAGGAGGGATGGCTTTAGGCAGAGATTCACTTTAAATATTTCTTCACATAATTCTTGAAGTATTTTAAGAGGCATTCTTCATAGTTACGTAAACATGATAATAAATCACCTCAAAGAATGCATCTATTATTTTAATG